AGTAATTATAATGAGCTAGAGATGCGAGAAATGGAAAAGAAATACAAAGGAATATAGCAGGAAGGCAATGGAAAGCAGATTCCTTCTTAGTGGGAACTGCCCTTGTCCCCCCACATCTTTATTTTTTACTATCATGTATCACTTGATTTTAATACGCTTCGGACGCTCTAACGGTTCCCGTTACCTAGTTGTTATTGCATAGTTTTTTTTGTCGATCGTACTTATTATAGAAATGATGATCAAATTTTTCATCCAATTAGAAGAAAGTCTTCCTTTGACGTGTCAGGACTTGCTAGTTTTTTCCACCCTATAAATGATTGGCTATTTTCGTTACAACGGTTCCTGTTTCTCTAAATATAAATTTATATTATTACAACTAAAGTATTTCTTTATTTATATACAAATAAATTGAAATTAAAACATTATAATTCAATTAAATATTTCAAATGAGCAATTTTCATTAATTGTATTTTAACACTATTTCATGTGGCCTTCAGGCACGCGTTTCCCAGCTTTCAGTAAGTATTTTAAATGCATTTTTGCTACAAAAATTAACTCAAATGAATGAAATAAATAAATAGAACTCGCAGTGACTGATAAAATCAATTAAAATTATAAACGTTCACCAAAAAAAAAAATCGTTAATTTATTTATTAAGATTTAATTTAATCATGCTTGATTCAACATTATGCTGGCTCGAACGATTTTTTAAAAAAAGAACATCCATATAAAAAGGGATTTTCATAATATTCATGCGTGTACAGATGTTGATGTTGAACCAATTAAATATTCAAGATCTGCATGCAGACCTTTGTGGCTGGACGCAATTCACTTGCGCCTGCGGCCAAATCTCGGAGTTGCAAAAATATGCAATTAAAAAATTTTATTAAGTGAGGTAAAGTTGTAAACCTTTTAAAGTTTTTGAGAAAACCAGTGCTTTTGACAAAATATTAATCATTCATATTAAATAATGACGAAATGCAACGTGGAAAATAGTTCTGTCGATCTGTATGTAAGATGCCTTTAAAGGTAAGTAGGACGAACGATAAATGTAACAATATAAAGAAAATATTCAGCCCAATTCATATCCTTCTGAACAATGTCTAATATCTCCGAAAATTACGAAATCGAGAATTATAATCAGTGGATTGAATGGATAGAGGAAGCTATTACTAAAGGGCATATAAAATATTATGAAAATGAAAATTTTAGTCATACTCGAGAAATTGCAGCAGGAGGTTTTAGTAAGGTATATTGTACGAATTGGAAAAATACCAATAAATGTTTAGCCCTAAAATCTTTTTCTAATTTTGACCATGCCACGGTTAAAGAAATTGTTCACGAGGTAAATTGAAATATATTGAATATATTTGGTTTGTTTGTTTGGGTTAATCATTCGCGATTTGATTATTGATAATTTTGTCATTTTATCGATCCAGATTAAATTACAAAAAGTAGTCGACTTTTATGATAATGTTATTCGCTTTTATGGACTTACATCCGAAAAAGGTATGATGAAAATAAAATCAGATGTATCCATATATCGTAAATTCATTTAAACAAAAATAATTCATGTACTGTACATCTTTTTAGATCAAATGAAAAGATACTTGCTGGTGTTAGAATACGCAGATGGTGGCACGCTCAAGAAACATTTAAAGGAAAATTCGAATGTACTTACGTGGAATGATAAATATGACTTGGCTTATCAGTTGGTTTGTGCGGTTTCAAATTTGCATAACGAAGGAATCTTACATCATGATTTGGTAATTAATTTATCTTCTCGCTTTTACATATCAAATAAAACTTTTTATAACATATATTTATTTATTATAGCACTCCGGTAACGTGCTTGTTCATCAAAATAATATTAAGCTCGCCGATTTCGGATTGTCAAAGAGAATTGACGAAGCATCCAAGCAACAATCGAAATTTTTTGGTGTAATTCCATACATGGATCCAAAAAGGCTCAGTAAACGAAGAAATAGTAGAAGAAATAGCAATGATTCACAATCATATTCATATAAATTAAATGAAAAGAGTGATGTTTATAGTGTTGGCGTGTTGTTATGGGAAATAACGAGTTGCCGACCGCCATTTTACGAACACGGGGAGCCATATGATGTTACTTTGGCTCTGGATATAATACGGGGCACTCGAGAAACGATTGTCCCAGACACACACCCTATATATTCTAAACTTTATACAGGTAAATATAATTATTATTTTAAACAATTAAATTATCAAATAAAATCACATACGTATGTATTTTAGATTGTTGGGATGGGGAGCCAGATAAACGTCCAAAGATGATCCAGGTGGTCGAAAGATTAGGCGCGATTATCTCTCCAACAGACACAACGGCAGATAATTGCAAATTGGATTATTGTGATACGACGATCCACGCATCAAATAAAAGTCAATTTGTTTCAAGAACCATCGATGATTACTCATCGCAAGGCGAATTAAATCGAGTGATTCAAAATTTAGATCAGATGGGTTCAAAAGAGATTATAGAAGCTTTTGAAGAACATGAGAGTATTTCGGAGGAAGAAGATTTAAATAACGTCATAGATGAAATAGTATCTTTTATCTTTAATATAACAAATGAAGGGAAGGAATTAAGAATAAGAAATCAACATGTCTTTGATTATTTTAATAATCAATATATTACTTCGCAAGAAATTTTGAATTGGCTTTTAAGAAATCAGAATAATCCGAATAATATCTTTTTGCTTGGGTACTTCAATTATTTTGGAATTGAAATATGTGAGGATGATAAAAAAGCATTCAATCTATTTTTTAATGCTTCGAATCAAAATCATAAATTGGCCCATTTTTTTGTCGGGGAATGTTACAGGTATGGAAACGGGACCAAAAAGAATGAACAATTGGCCTTTGAATATTATAAGAAATTGGCAAATCGAAATTGTGCGGCAGCACAATTACAAATTAGTTATTGTTATGAAAAGGGAATAGGTATTAAGAAAGACGTGAAGAAGGCGATTTATTGGTATCAAAAAGCTGCACATAATGGAAACATTGTTGCGATCTATAACCTCGGAAATTGTTATAGGAATGGAATAGGCGTTAATAAGAACTATCATAAAGCTTTTAAATTATATAAAAAATCAGCAAAAAATGGATGCTTAAGTGGAATTACGATGGTAGGATATTGTTATCACAGGGGTAAGGGAACGATTGTTGATAAACGAAACGCTTTTGATTTATTTTATAAAGCTGCAAATTTAGGAGATGGAATAGCTCAATATAACCTTGGAATTATGTATGAAAAAGGTGATGGAATAAAAAAAAATATGGAACTTGCCACGTATTGGTATAAACAAGGGTATCAAAATGCTCAAAATAGATTGGAAAATGTTTTTAAAAATGTTTAACTTTTTTTTTAAAATGTATTATAGCTTGAATTAAATAAAAAGCGTGTAAATTATTATGTCATATATGTTGTAAGTTTAGTATAGGTACTGTAATAAATGTTTTGTGTATTTAGGTTAGGTTAATAAAATTTTATGTTAATAAAAATAAAAAAAAAATAATTAAAAAATAAAAAGTATAATAATAATTGTAATTAATTCATAACTGAATGCCTTGTTTAAATTTTAAATACCGAGAATATTTCTCAGAGATACTGAAAAAAAAAAATTGCTAAAATTTTAAATATGAACAAAAATGCAGATCGTCTTCGCAAAGCACGTGCTTGGGTTTAATTGGGATTGTGAGTAAGATTTTAATTTCAATCATAATTAGCGCTTAACCTCAATTACGTTTTTTGACACCAGATTAACCATCTCAATCTCAAGCACGTATTTTGTGAAAACTCTCCATTGAAATATTAAATTAATAAGTCTAAATGAGAAGCCATGCCGTTTTAATGGTTAATAATTATATTTCAAGTGATTATGTAGAGAATGAATTTTAATATTTCTATTATTACAATTTAAATATTGCTACGTTTACGCTACTTTGTTAAAAAGTTTTAATGCTCATATAAAATGCAATCAACTGCAGTAAATCTATATGATTCGAGTTAACTCGAATCCCTGATGCGAGTACTCTTCGAGTCATAAAAATACAGACATGAGTCCAACCTCTACAGTATGACATTGGCCTGAATTAAGTATTTAACGCCGAAAAAATTTGTTAACCGATATATAGTTAATACATATATGGATCGTATGCTATTAATATTAGGTTATGAGATATAGTAAATCATATGATCTGAACATGATGTATATGTTCGCGTAGAAGCTTCAAAGATTTGGTTAACAAGACGCTTTTGATTCTTAAATCTACCAAAAAAGGTATCACGTGATATTTATTTTTTTAAAAAAAATTACTGTATATGGAGGTACACGATAAAAGCCTGTACCGTTATTAGAATATTTGGCACAACGTTTGGCAAGTAAATTGAATAATCTTCGATCACGTGACTGGTGATTTGTAGATATTCAATCCTTTATTTTTTTTTCTTCCCATAACATGTATATATACTTTGATTCACTGTAAACTTCTTCCGGCATTCCAATTTGCAAATTGTTGCCTCAAAGTCTTACAATTAGGCCGGTCAAACTCGATTTTTCGGTTCTCGTAATATCCAGAATTCGAAAATGACCCGGTGACCCGCCTTTTATTTTTATATAATTTTATAAACTCTAATTACTATTCTTACTTTCACACACAAATTATAAAACGTAAAAATTCCATTTTATTTGATGAAGGTACTCCTGTAGATGAACATGTAACATCGAAAATTTTTTTACAACATTTTCCATTGATACACTTGAACCGGCCTAATTGTGAGAATTTTTTGTTGATATATCTTGTTCTTTTGTATTATATGGAAAGATTATACAAAATTTATTGCTCCTAAAATTGAGAAGTATTTAAGTCCTTCAAATACTTATAATGACTTTGTGATTGCAATTACGGAGACTGTCAATATTGATTGAATTGTGAAACTGATGCGGTAATATATCTTTTTAAAAAGAAAAAAAGGGAAAAATATAAAAAAAATTCAAGTTAGTTCGTTCGTTCTAATAAAATAAAGTAATGGAAATAGTTCCTCATAATTTCATTGAGATAATTAGGAGATAATGAAATTTTACGATTTGGACAATTTAATAATTTATAACGAAATTGAAAGGGCAAGATTTGATAATCTAAATACAAAGAATCAAACTTCTGTAATAAGACTTTATAGTAGAGAATCAAATAATTCTACTTATATATACACAAAAACGAAACAAAGTTAAATCTTTGATCTAGAAATTCTACCACAGAAATTCCTTAAAATTATAGATGACAGATTCTTAAATGAGCGAAAAGACATCCTCCCGATCTCTGAAATGACATTATGCTTCAATAAAGTGTAAGATCAATCTGTAATATTTAAGTTATAAATTAAAATTTTTTTCGTTATAATAATAAATGACTAAAGACTTTCATATATGAGCCCACTCTCAACGACTTTCAGCATTTTATCAAATAAGATCATTGGTGGACGTTACAAAGCAGAATTTGTAGTATGGATAAAATAAAAAGGAAAAAATTAAATTTTCCTGAGACCTTTAAGTGTATCTTTCCCAATGTTTTCAGGATCTTGTTAGGATAATATAACAGGAGCAAGTTTCAAAGATTGACAAATAAATAAATAAATGTTGAGACAAGTGTTCTTGCGATAATCATTATTAACCATTTATTATCACTATTTCTTTATCACATATTCTAATAATAGTATATGGTTTCGATATTTTAATATTATTGGAATAAAGTCCAAATAAAGTGTTTAAATTTTTAATATATATTTTTAATTAGAAATTCTTTAAAAGTTATATTTCGCGGATTTCGCGGAATTCAAGAATTTTCTTTGATCTCTTAGAGTGCACCAATTATAATATTAAATTTATTCTAGTCAAAATAAAATCAGGGAAATTAGAGATAATTTGTATTTCCTAGTAAATTTCAATTGGTAAAAAGAACCAAAAGTTTAAAGCTCTATTATATTTGGTAAAGATAATTTATATATATATATTTAATATAACTTATTTAATAAATATACTTGTTGATTTTATTTTTAGCATTCAAAAGTTTAAGCTATGGGTCAAATAAAAGCTAAAATTTTTCAAGATGAAATAAATGCTAATGTAGATTATGCCCGTGAATTGTTTTATTCTAATAATTATCAACTCAATGAGATGAAATTTCTGATGTTGAGATAATAAAGAGGCAGATTTTATACCAAAAGTATGTATGTTAGTAATATCATAAATGTCTGGATTCAATTCATGTTAAGAATTTGTATGTTTATTACAAAAAATATTTTTAAGGTAAGTTAATACTACTCCTTGTAAATGTAGAAGTTTATGAAAATTTATACAAAAGGAAATGTAATGACATATGGGTGATTTAAATATCAATAAAAGTTTAATGATACTTCGCATTTATGGCGCAGGAGTCATCAAGGATTTTATTGTTAACGTTAATTAATGGGCGAAATAATAAAACACTCACTATTTTATTTAAAGAAATTTATAATCAAGCTTATGTTCTAAGTGTGGTATTATATTTTTTTTTATTCGCGCTGTCAGGTCACTAATTCACTAAAAAAAGAAATAATTCAGTGATGATGATAATACAATGCGATAGACGGTGGCTTCGTTTCCCACCTTTATCGGAATGATGATTGTGATTGATTTGACAAGTGCGTATGCATGCAGATTTCAATTGATTTACAATTCCTACACAATTTTTTTTACTCAAAGTACATTTTTACATACTGTATATCCATTCGATATAGTCGATTTAACAGACCAATTTTCTCAAAGACGAATTTCATTTTATTAATTTCTTAATATTATTATACAACAAATTATTTTTTATAATTATTCTGTCAATTATTTTTTATAGGTAAATGATGAAATTTGTTTTTATATGCAGCAATTTATTATGTAACCGTAACACGATTATTAGGACGAATAAATGACGTGAGTACTGTTACTGTTCAATATAAAGTTACCAAATATATCAACAAAGAAAAAAAAATCTAAATAGAATTTTTTTATTATGATTTACGAATTGCATGAAAGAAATACGTATTTTTTTTTGTATTTTGGAAATACAAAGGACAAACACATTGCGCCAAATGATGTTCACTTGACCATTTGAATGCCATGATCGACATGGATGCCAAAAAATGAAAAGGTTTTTGTCTCACTGTTTTGGCAATCGAATAGATAATGAACACGTATATAAATGAAGTCTCAACTGAAAGGTGAAAATTACCTTTTTTTCCTTTTTCGTAAAAAAATTTTCTCATCCTTTCAAAGTTACATTATTTTTTTTTTTTTTCTTGTTTTTTTTTTAAAAAAAAAAAAGAAAAAAAAAATGGCAAAATATTTTCAGGATAGAGATTTTATAAATAAAGATCTCCAAAACGAAGCGTTAACGCATAAATCGTACGCATACGAAAATCCAATGAGCGGAAATCATAATGAAAAATTAGAATTCTTGGGAGATTCGGTTATATCCCTTGTAATGTCAAATTATTTGTATAAAAAATGTAAAGATGAAGGAGAACTAACAATGATGAGAGCAAAGTTAGTTTGCAAACAAACTTTGGCAGAGTTTGCGTCAGCGTTAAATTTAGAAACAAGGATGAAATTTGGCAAAGGTGCTTTAAATACCAACGCAAGAAATAATGAAAAGGTTTTAGAAGACGCTTTCGAAGCTTATATTGGTGCCGTATTTTTGGATTCAGATGAAAATTTTTTAGAAGTAATGGATTTTATGAAACCTTTGTTAGAACCAAAAGTTGAGAAACTTCTTCTGGAAAAAAATAATGCGCAGCAAAATGATCCTTCTAAACCTATAATCGGTCCTCAGGATGTACCTCTTATGACTTTGCCTCTTGAAGATCCAATTAATAAACTTCAAACTTGGTCGCAGAGAAGATCATTTGGTTTACCTAAATATAATTTGGTTGAAAATAAAGAAGTTGAAAATAAAGAAGTTGAAAAGAAACATATTCAACCTAAGTTTACTTTTGAAGTTGTCATTAATGGAATTACTTACCCTCCAGGGACGGCGAGAAATAAATCGGAGGCTAAAAAATTAGCTGCCACCAACGCCCTAAAATTAATTGATGATACCGTAAAAATTATTAAATAATTAGCTTTCTTTATATGTAATGAGATAAGAATTTTTACAACTTTTGACATTTTTTTTTTTATTTTGTAAGTTATTAATATTGAAAGGATAACCAATTTAGAATTGAAAAATAAGTAATAAAACGATTTAAGCAAATTTTGTTAATAATTTTATAGTATCTTTTGGACTCTTATGATTCAAATTATAAAATAAAGTTTACGTTTGAGTTTTCTATATTAATTTTAATTTGGTACTACGTGTTGTTTGAACGTTGCATTACGTAATTTGTCCAAAATAGTAAATAAATTTTCTTTAGAAAATATCACATATGGGAACGTTTTCAGTAAAATCAAGTTATGAGATATAGTAAATCATATGATCCATATTGCTTCTTTATTCCAATGAAAAGGAAGACATTGATTCGTATTACAACTATACATGAAACCGAAATCAACTCTGTATGATTTTTGCAAATTGTGTCATTTAATATCAATCGTTCTTTATATTAAAATCCTATCACAGAAGAATTTTTTAAACTAACATTTTGCTTGATATTGAAAAATATTCATCTTATAATGAAAATAAATACTTAAAATACATTTATAAATAAATCCGATTATTATTTCATGCAGAATTGGTTTGATAATAACTTTAGATAATAAAAGAAATAATAAAGGTAGCTTGAGTTTAAATTGATTATTGGCTTGTAGCGTCTAGTTACAACAATTTTTTTTTAAAGTGCCAAATTTATAAAATACATATTAATATATAAAATCATGTGACTTTAAGATGCAAATTTATATAAATCACGTGATTTATATTTTGTTTATTCAAAATTAACAAATTATATAAATTTTTAAGAATTAATTTGAGGAATAATGTGATGTCTTTTATATTTTTTACCTGCATATTCTGCTTGTTTTGCATTAAGTTCTTTCTATAAAAATCCATACATCTAAAAAGACTTTTAAGTATAACCTCAAATTTATTTTAAAAAAATTGAATCTAATGCTTCTAATACAACTTTTTTTAATTCTTATCAAGTATAATCACAATTTCTTTTAAGAAAATTGACTCACAATGAAATTTAAAATAAAAAAATAATTTTATGATTTAAATTTTCAATTTTTTCATAAATTAAATAAGATTAATTATAAAAATCTTTTATTATTCCAAAATATGTCACATATAACAATTTTTTTCAAATGTTTCATTTTTGCAAAATCAAATTAAATCTTCATTTATAATCCTTTTTCTTAAAATAATATTTACATATTTTTTATTTTTTTTGCAAATTAGGATCTAAATAATCATTTAATAAAACCATATAGGTGATATGCTATTAAAATTAAGATATAGATCATATGATTTACTATAATCTGTATCTCAATTTTAATAGTATACTACCCATATGTTGCATTTATTTATTAAATATAATACTACACATTTTTGGTTATATTCTACTAGGATTTACATTCATTACTTTTACATTAATTGCATTTAAAGTATAAGAATTATGTATAGAAGAATTATCAAAAGCAATATAGCAATAGTACTCAAATGTGTTTAATTCAAATAGAAATAGCTTTTTTAACAATATATAAATAAACAAATTTTTAAAATGAATTATATTTTATAAATAATAAAGAAAAAAAAAGTATATTATTATATACTTGTTTAATTAATTGTTTAATATTTTAATAACATCATAATTTTTTTCAGAATGTATCATTATTCTTGCTTTATGTAAAAAATTTTTTATCAACAGTCTTTATTTATTCTTTGTTAAGTTTAAGTCTTCCAATAATTTTACAAAAAAAATTACTAATATAAATTGCTCAACCTTATCCTTTTTTTGAAGTGGCTGTTTAGTATTAGGACCATTCAGATTTACTACATGAAATAATATTTTATTATGAGTAATAGTTTTTTATTTCATTAAGAAAAGGATTTGTTTAAATATTTAAATCAACTCTTTTAAATTGTAATATTAATTTTTCATATCTATTTAGAATAAATATTATTATATATTAATTTTATTATAAAATAAACAAGTTTGCTATTATCACCACTGGCGTTCACTACCAGTGTTATATGATTTTTAATGTTAGGTGATTTCGATTAGCAAATGTTTTAATAAAAATATGTTACAGCTAATACTAATAATTTATATTGCTTAACTCTAATATATTAAATCACTAATTTAACTATTATATCTCTAACTATTAACATCATATTGATTACTGTTTTCTTTATCAACCTTATATTTAACACATTCATGAATATTATGTCCTCTACCTAAGCAATATCTACAAATTTTAAGTATACTTTCATTTGATTTTAACGTAGAAAATTGATTATTATTTTCTACTAAAGATTTGTAATGCTTAGAAGAATGTTCTTTTGCCTTGTGATATTTTACGTTAGATATTACATTAAGGTTATTCAAATGCTGTTATACATTATTATTAATTTTAGAATTAATAGAAGACTCTTATAATATATTGTTTTGTAATTGACTAGGCTAATTAACTTCTTTAATATCTAAAGTCTTACAGAACATTATTAGGATCATTAAGCTGATTTTTTATTGAACTGGTACATATTGGTTATAATAAGATGCTCATATTATTGCAATATTTCATAATAAATTGTATTAAAATTCCAGTTAATTCTGCTATACTACCTTCACTACAGCAATTTGAATGCTTGTTTTAGCCAAAAACATTGTATTTTCATATTGAATTTTTTTATTAATGAGTTTTCTTGCAGTTGGTGCATAAACATTATCAAGTTTAATTTGATTAATATAATATAAAGGTATAGAAATGCTACTTGTTTTTCCTTTAGCAATTGTAATATTTGATGTTCTGATGGAATTGATTCAAACCAACGACTATAAATAAAAGATAAATGAAATATTACTTTTTCTGATTGAATTAAGTATTGATGTCTACATAGTATTTCTTGATTTATAATATGCATACAAGTATAAAGTAATGTTGAATCTTTTAAAATTATAACATAATGTGATTTGTAAGGTTTTTCTGAAGTTGGTATAATGCTAGATACTTCCTAAAGTTCATAAATATTATCATATAATATGCCTGATAGTAATTCATTTAAACAAATCTATGATGTATCATATAACTGCTCAATTATATCATCAAGTGTAATAATTGATTTTTTGACCTAAAAATAAAAAAATATAATGAGATTTTTGATTTAATTCATACATAAACTAATATCATGCCTAAGGTTGCTTGTCTAAACTCATTTTGGATTTGGCTAAACGTCTAAACCTTTAATTTTGCTAAATTTTTACTAAGTGTTTGATATAGTTTCGCCATTTTTATAAGCTTTGATACAGTTTTACATTTTATGAATTTTGCAGATTTTTAAATAAGATTTTAATATAATTTAACCAAGTTTTACCTTTATCATTTAGACGTCTGTTTAAACTCTGAATTTCATTCAGTAACCTTAATCATGCCTTATTCTAATTATACACTTACCCTAATAATATGTCTTATCCTAATTCAACCCTTACCCTAATGCTATACTTTATTCTAATTTCACACTTATTCTAATATTACACATTATCTTAATCTCATACTTACCTTAATATCACGCCTTATTCTAATCTTACCCTTACCCTAATACCACATTTTATACTAATTCTTAATTCTAATTCAACTCTAAATAATTCTGATTAAATAAAATGAATTTACTTGATTAACAATGCTTGTTTCATTTGAGCTCTTTAAAGAGATAATAGAATAGGTGCTAAATTAGCTTTTAACATATTATCAATTTCTTTGAATATAGTGTCATAAGTTAATAGAAGTCAAACTGATAGATTTAATCTATAATAATCCTTAATACGAGTATATTGTGCCTCTTTTTCTAATTCACATTGTTAGCTTAAATGGTTCGTCGTTAAGTCAACTAAGATTATTTGCTAACAGGGAGTTTAAGTTCGTCTAAACTATGGAAGAAATAAACACGAATTAATTATATTGA